GGGGGGCTTAATCCTAGCCTGTAATACAGACACGTTGGCATACTCTTCGATAATACGCCGAAGCGCGCGAGTTTTAAATTAAACTCCGCCGAAATCTATCGTAGTACGTAGTACGAGGTGGCAATAACTCTGGGAATCATGTGTTCACACCGGCCCGGGAATCACCGGAATCAATGAGAATCACGACGGAAACCAACGGAAATCAATGAGAATCACGAGGGGAATCATGTGCACACTTGAATTCGGAGTTATTGCCCTCTCGCTGCAGTGTTTTTGATCTCGCTGCTGCAGGTCACGTCACTTAGCCATAATCATCGTTCCTAATGCACATATAATTGTCGCTGTGGCCCGCCACGAGACTGTTGAAAAGGAGCAGGTCGGAACCCCCGTTTTTCCATTCTCCTTCTGGAATTTCCTGCTGCGGCTAGCGCGTGTTACCAAGGACGAGCTTCCGCCCCAAAGAGTGGCGTGGCGCGGCGCGGCGGCGCGGGCTGTGATTATAGTGGACCACCCCTTCCGGCAGGACGGCCGGGCCGCCCACCGCGCCGCAAATAACGCAATACTTTGGCACACTGTGTCACGTGATAAACCGTCCCATTAGAAGCACACGTGCGCCATCTGCCGCCCAGCACCTCATTGCCGAGGGGACGCCCGGGGGGCCTCGGTCGGAGGGCCCACGTGGCACCTTCACGTGGCACACGGGCCAGCCGGGCCACGCATCACAATTATTAGGAAGGAGAGGCTCCCGGTGATGGAAAATAGACTACACCTTATATTAGTACATCCAAAAAATTCACCGTCCTGAAAACAAGCGTTGGATTGTTCCCTTTCTGATGGAAATGCGTTCTGGCTGCTGTGCATGTTCCCGACTGGTCCGGCAAAGGCCTACGATAAGCGAATTTATCTCAACAAGACTAAAATGTTTAATTTCTGACGTCTTTCTCTCTCGAGCAGCAGCCGCGAGCCTGCCGTTCTTTATGGCCATTCGTTCTCATGCATAGGTAAGAGGCGGGTGTGCAGGGGCGTGCGTGCCCGTCGGTGCGCGCCGTGCACAGCAGTGGGAACAAGCGCATGCACGGCAGCAAGTTGATCGCGGGGCTCATGCAGGGGCCAGACAGAGACCCCGGCCCCGTTTGAATCGCCCGCGGCTGTTCACTCGCAACTCAACAAGGCGAGAAGCAACAAGCAGACGCGTGCGTGCGAGCGAGGAGGGAAGACCACGCCGAACAAGCCAACCACCACCACCCTGAGTCCTTTCGGGAGTCTCTCGAAGAGTCTCCCACAGGGACAGCAAGGGCAGGGCGTCTTCCACAAAGTTTTCTAGAGCAAAGCGCTTTTAGAGAGTCTACCAAGATCCGGTACCAGTAAATGAGTCTAAAACGGAGACTGTCAGCCAGCCTATCTCCGATGAAGTCTTTAATGGAATCCTTAAATGTCTCTTCCCGATTGAGGAGCCTGCCAAAGAGAAAGTCGAACGATGAGCAGTCTTTCAATATTCGCCGAGGGTCTTTTAAAAAGTCACTTAACAAGTCTTCTAGGGTCCACCAAGAAGTCCTCCAAGGAGTCCTGCGCTGGGCATCCCTGGTCTCAACACCTACGCGTCGTCGGGTCCTTACCCCCTCGCACCTTCCCGCCACCTGCACCTTCCAAAACCACATTCCTCTGGGTCAAGCAGGGCGCGCGCGACAAGAGACAAGGGAACTACCTATGTCGGCTATCCATCATGGACAGACTGGGAACGGGGGCCTAAACCAAAGAAAGTGGAGGGGGGGGGAGTGCAGTTGGGACATCTAATGAGCGGGATGGCACCGCGCCGCCGGAATTTGCAAAGGAAGCGAAAACAAAACTAAAAATGAACATGTGGCTGGTCCCACCCAGGGTGGTGCGGTTCACGCACGGGTGGTGGGAAGTCGCACGGAGCCCCGCCGCGTTCCAACGGTAGCAGCAGCGGGGGAAGTCCTGGGCAGGACGGACGCATTGCATCATGTCGTCTAATTAAAAGGCTTCCTGTGTCACCATCGGCTGCTACACACGCCACCTCAGACCTCCCAAAAAGAGAAGGGGAAGGAAAACACGGCAGCCTTCTCTCTCTTGCAGGTGACCGGTGTTCCGACCCAGTTGATTGAAATGACGGTATGCAAATAAGCCTTTATGACGGCTGCAAACCCATCTAAATCAACAGGAACCTGCAGCAGCAGCGGCCAGCCACTCTGCTGCCCCACCCTGTGTCACTCACTGAGTTCGTTTGATTAACCTGTACGCAATAAATCGGAAACAAAACTTTCCTTTTTCTTATTCCTGTTGGTAATTCAGTCGTTAAGTCCGCTCCTTCAATGCTCACCTGTGCATGTATCTGCTTCAGTTTCGATTCAGAGGGATGGAAAAGGAGAGGGCATAGTAAAGGATGAAGCTAAAAAACAGGGCCATATATCCAATTTCAGGCGAGGTCGCCCGGGGCGCAGACCCTGTGTATGGGTGCCCAGGGAGGCCCTGGCAGGGGGAAAGCTCTCATTGGCCAGCCCGAGGGGCCTTTGCAGGCCCCCATTGGCCAGTGGTCTTCGGCTTCATCATTGTGAGACCAGACGACCAGCTCAAATACCCCTGTCGAAAGTGGATGTTTTCCCCGGCATGCACGGAGCTAGGAATAAAATGAAAATTTCACCTATGCTGATAAATTCTGCCTACCCTCGTTTTAATTTGTATTACAAAAAACAAACAAAAAATAATTCATTACAAATTTTGCTGAAAAACTGCTGTTGGTTACAAGTTTGAGGGTTTAAAATGAAATAATTTTAAACAGAAATACAAATTGTTTTGTGTATATTGAGTCTTGATAGACGACTAAAAGCCTTGTCACACACCTCACACTTGTATGGCTTTTCACCAGTGTGTGTCCTCATGTGCCTTACAAGAGTGCCTTTCTCAATAAAACACATTTTACATACGTCACACTCGAACGGCTTTTCACCAGTGTGTGTCCTTATGTGCTTGACAAGAGCGCCTTTCTCAACAAAGCGCGTTTTACATACGTCACACTCGAAAGGCTTTTCACCAGTGTGTGTCCTCATGTGAATGACAAGATGGCATGTCTGAGTAAAACGCATTGGACAGATGTCACAGCTAAATGGCTTTTCACCAGTGTGATACATTTTGTGTCTCTTCAGATCACTCGCATATGAAAAACTCTTCTCGCAGACATCGCATTTTAAGGCCCCGCCGGTGCCCCCGCTTGAGTTCGCCTGCAGAGCACCACTGGGATTGCTTTTACATCCGCTCCCGCTGCCGGTGTACTTCCGGTCAAGCTGCTTCTTCCGCGGCACCCGCGAGGCTTGCTGGTCGTCCTGTTGTTTGTTGTGCGCAGGCTGAGCGTCGCGGGTTCCACACCGGGCGGTGGAGCCGCCCTGCCTGGTTGCGTCGCCGGGAGGAGGCGCCACTTCCTCGTCGCGCTGCTCGGGCTGCACCGCGCCGTCCCCAGAGCCGCCCCTCGCCGCGTCCTCCGCGGGGCACTGCTCGTCCTGCAGCGACGTCCACGTCGTCACCACCAGCCCTAGCTGCTCGTCGTCTTGATTCAGCTCGTCCAGCTCGGGGCCCTCGTCGACGGACACCTCGCCAGGACCCTCCCCAGGGGTCGCCCCGCTTGAGATGCGCTCGCCGCCTGCAACAAGAGCACCGCGTCAGACACCGGCGCCGTCATGAGAGGTCCGCCCCATCACCAGGATCACCA